GCATCTGGTCCCTTTAGGGGAAAAGCTGACAATGCTGTCAAAGCTGCTTCAACTTTTGGTACAGGCAACAGTTGGCACATGAAGCAGATTCCTCTCTTGTTCTGGTTGGGTAGTTCAGGGGGAGTTTGTTTGTTTGTTTTTAAAATCAACTTTGCATTGGGCTCTTAAGAAACCCTAAGTGTGCAACACCTGGGCAAACAGGTTCTGTGGCCACAGCCGACACAGGAAACCCAAAGTGGCTGAGCCTGACAGTAATTTGTTACTGAATTGGTTTTGTTACTGAATTGGTTTTGTTGCTGAATTGGTTTTGTTACTGAATTGGTTTTGTTACTGAATTGGTTTTGTTGCTGAATTGGTTTTGTTGCTGAATTGGTTTTGTTGCTGAATTGGTTTTGTTGCTGAATTGGTTTTGTTGCTGAATTGGTTTTCTGTTGTTCTCTCCCCATCTGGTTCAGCACCAAGCACTTCCACGGGCACTTACAGCAGAATTCTTATTCAGAGCAGGTTCAAATGCTGGAGCTGGAGCCTGATTTCAGCAGAAAATCAACTGCAGCTCTGGCTCTGTGTCATTAACCCCACACAGGCTGGATGAGGTCAGTGAAGGAAGTGCAGATTTCCACATCCATTTTCCTGGGTTACAGAATCCCCAAATGCCAGAGCAGGCTGGCCAGAGTTAATGCTCTAATTGTTAAATCACATCCAGATTCCACAACATACATCATATCTTAAGAATGGAAATTATGCCTAATTCAGAGCTGTTTGTATCACTCTTTGCATTAATAATTCTTCTTTAGTTTAGCCCTATTTTTATTCAGTAAAAGATACATCAGGGCACCAAATGAAATGCTAAATAGTGAATTACACATAATAAACCACAATTCTTTGATATATCCAACTTATCTACCTATATTTTCAACATTTCCAAATATGATCACGATGGTTTCTTGTTAGTGAAAGGAAAACTGAGCACAAGCTTGCTGAATATGGCTCAGATACAGTGGGATTTTAAAACAGATTTATCATCAGAGATTCCCAAGACAGCAGAGCACAGGGTGCTGTTTCAATTAATCATCTTTGAGGAGTAAACTACAGAAATCTAAAGATTCTTCTCCACTAGAACATCCATTTAGGGCTGTAATACTTCAGTGAATGCTTGTGTGTTCACTCAGTTTGATTTGCTTTGACTCCTCTGGAATCTCAAGCAAGAGAAGTTCTAAGACAAGAGGACAATGGGAATTTCTCCACAATTATTATATTTCCCTTATGGGCATTGATGTCTACCATGAGTTATTTTTCTGATGTTTACAACTCAATTTAATGGCCTGGAAATGTCTTCTTCAAATTGAGGGGAAAAACCAGGAAAGGTTGCAGCTGATTGTTGTATTTTCCTGCAGGCACCCACAGCTGACATATCCAATACCTTGAAGCCCTGTCTGTTTTCATGTCAGTGTCTTTTTAATATCCAAGGGCTTTTGGGAAAAGAGGTTTTTCTGCCCCCTGAAGAAGCAAGGCTGCTTGTTTTGCCTCTTTTTATCTGTGTCTCTATAGCACTGCTCAGCACAGCCCACATGATGTGCTCTGAGCAAGCCTGGTTTGGAGAATGCACAGGTGATCCCCTCACAGCCCTGCTTGCTTTCTGCAGGAATTGATTTTCTCTGGTATTTCTTTTCTCTGGGTTTTTTTTTTTTTCCATCTGGAAATTTTCTTTCTTTTCCCCCTCTGGAATATCTTTAACTCTGAATAAGTGTCCCAAGCAATCTGTATGTAACCACTATTCTCCCTAATGTTATCTGAATTAAGGAAAGATCTGTAGGGTATCTGTTTTCATAATTCAATAAATCAGGGTGTATTCACTGGAAGCTTCCTTTATTATTAACCCTTTATATTCTGAACATATTAGCTCTCCTGTAGAAGTTTGGGAGGCCTCTCATGTGGCACCATTTAGCATTTGGTAACTCTAACTTCAAATGTACAAAAGGCTGGTGAAACCACCAGAGATCAAAGGAATAGGAAGAAAACCCTGAGGCATCTTTTCTCTGCACACAAAACAATCCAGGAGCTTGAATCACCTCCTCAAGACTCCAGTGCTCCTGACAGCCTTTAAGCAAAGCACTGGGGCAAAGCTGAGGGGTGCCAGCTGCTTTTCCTGCACAGGAGCAGCATCAGCATCCCTGCAGGAACAGCACAACGTTCCAGCAAAGCTCAGCTGCTGGGAAAGCCTGAACCTGAACCCAACATTTCAGGTTCAAACTTGTGCCCAATTTGCATCTGTGTAACGTAAAGAGTTGAGATGTGAATCAGTAAACACTGAGTGGCCTCTTGTTCCTTGCTAATCCAGACAAAAAGAGCTGTAAGATTTTGCCTTTTTTTGTTGAAATCATCCAAAACCAGCCAGTTATCACCAATAAAAAGAAACTTAAAGCAATTTAACTGATCCACTCAAGGTAACTCCCATTAAGGACATTTTAGAATCCAAGTTAGAGGGAAAAAAAATGAACAGATTGAAATACTTCATTCCACACCCTGAGATCACACACTAAGATCAATGAAGTTGGGGCCATCTGAAGTCCATTCTGGAATGCAATCTTGGCTGATGAGCTGTGCCTTACCCATCCATGAATCTGCCCTTCAGGATGTCATTTTCCAATTAGCTGCTTTAACAGGGCTCCCAAATGAGCTTTTGTCTATCATGAATTCATTGTTTTGAACTGCAGTTCTGCACTGCTGGAGGCTCCCTGCTCTCAAACTGTAATTCCCATTCCCCACAGTTGCTCTCTCCATGTGTCCAGAAGCACCAAAAACCTTCACAAAACCCTCACAGCAGCTGGTGCAGGCTGCAAGAACTGATGGATGCAGGTGTGGGGTCAGACTGGAACTCTGGGACACCACATTGTCACCTAGAGGGGAAATTCTGGGCTGAGGTGGGACTGGAAACGCCCACCCAGCCCTTCATCCTCCTGGGTCAGTATTACTGAGAAGGGACTGCTGTGAGCATCAATAAAATCCCAGAGATGTGGAGCAGGCCAGGTGGATTTGTGGCTCTGATGGAGCAGGAATGGCAGAGCAAGGGACACAAGTGACACAAGCGACACAAGTGACACAAGTGACACAAGCGACACAAGTGACACAAGTGACACAAGCGACACAAGCGACACAAGCGACACAAGGTCTTTCCCAGCACCTGGTGCTGGTTGGTGGCTCTGAGGACAGATCCCAGAATTACCCAGTGACACCTCAACTCTACAGCTCAGTGCTGAGTTCAGTGCCAGGGAAAAATATATGATGAATAATTAATTAGCCAAGCTCAGGATTATTTGAACTAACCTGGCCACTTAAGATATTTATATCTGAATTATGATTAGACATGACAGCAGAGTTGGGATCTACTACAAATAATTAGCATGAGATCCCAAAGGATTGGAAAAGAGTAAACAAGGTTCCTGCCCCTTTAAATTCACATTCCTGAGTGTCTTAAACTGCTATAGAAATTATAGTTATGCATCACCAACATACTGTGCTAGGAATTACCCCAAAAAACCTCAAACTACAATTTGGTGATTCACAAGGAAGACTTCAGGCAAACAGAGGATGAAATATTAAGTTTAACTTGTCCTACTTAACAATTTGGGACCTTATTATTATCAAAGTGTGGCACTCAGGATATGCTGCTTCTGCAATTTGCACTAATTGGACACAGGGAGAGCAGGCAATGCCTTCACAGCACCAGGGGATCCTCCCAGCAGGGACATCCCCTCGAGGAAAAGGCAAACAAGTGGTTAAAGCCCTGGTGTTGTCTGGAGGACAACAGGGCTCAGTCTCTGACAGAAATAGCCAGGGATAAACCACAAATCTTTGTTTCCATTGGCACTCCAAGAAAACACATCTCAGCCCAAATCCAGCTGTCAGCCCACCCCTGCCCTCACTTCACCTTTGTCTCCTTCTTCAACTTGGCCCTGTGTGTTTTAAGCTCTTCTTAAACAGAAAGAGGAGGCAAATTCTTCCTTCAAAAATGCAATAAACTTAATTAAAATATCAATTCAATCAATCCACCTTCACTGCAGAATTATTTTCTGGTGGAGCAGTGCAGGACAAACAATAAAATCCAGGGGATTTTTTTTCTATATAATGTCCTTAGAGTAACCCCAGAAATGTTTCTATGCCAGGACACTCACACCTGCCTAATGGAAAGGCTAAAATTATATCATGCATAAGAGAAGATTGTATCAAAATAAGAGAGAGAGAAATCTTTAGCTTAATGATTCACTTGAGCAAATCAAACCTAAAATCAGCTTTCTGTTACAGTGATCACAGATCTGGTGAGCATACAAGGATCATTCCAGTTATACATAAAGGCTATATAAACACTCTTTAAATTAAGAATACAACATACACAACCAACCACCAGTTTTCTGATAATAATTTTTAAAAAATGTTAAAACTAACGGAGCAACTCCCTTTTAAAAAGGTGAGATGATACAGTGGCAAAGCATTTAGGGGCCTGAATTCAGAAGGGCAGCCAAGCAACTGTGGCACATCCCCAAGGGCACAGGCAATTCCTGGCTGACCAGTGGCATTGTGTGACTGCCTCTGTTGCTGCCTGTCACCACTCAGGAACAACCAATTATTGAACTTTGCTTTCTACAGACACAGCCCTGCACAGGGCACCAGACCTGCATGGAAATCTCACAGGCTGGGTTTTATCTAGCACGACTGGAGCTCTTGAAGATACAGAGAGATAAACCACAAATATGTTGTATAAACACAAGGTTGTGTTTTAAACAGTGGCAAAACATAAGAGATTACAACCTGCCCAAATAACCATTTTATCTTGGTTCAGCCAAGATATTCCCACAGCATGCAAAGAGCTCGGTTACAGAAGACACTAGACAAAGAAAGCTAGAGCAGGAATTTACCTTATCTTGACCAAGGAAATGGCAGAAAAGTTTTGAATATTAACAAAGTTTTAATTCATCAATCAAAAGCACACAGGGAAATCTTACCAGCACTCGATCTCCAATTTTGAGCTCCCTTTCTCCTTTCTTTAGTGACCCAGCTTCTGAGAGGTTTGATATAGATTCACTGGCAGTTTTGGAAAGATTGCTAATCTGAGAAGGAGTTGCATGTTCCTTAGCAGCAAGGGGGGTTTTCTGCGGGATTCCTGAGGGGGGAAGTGCAGCAGCGGAGGAGGACACGGCGCTGGCAGCCGATGTGGATGTGGGGGACGTGGCTCGGGACGCGGGAGCTGCCTGGGTACCGTTGGCCTCGTCCTCTGTCAGCGCCTTCCTGCTGAGCTTGGACGGCCGGGTGAAGATTCCCCTCAGGGGCTCACACTGGAAATAGCGAACCCCGGCCACGGAGCCGTCGTTCTTCCCGATGGGCTCGTCCAGCACGATCCCCGCCCACTGGCCCGGGGCAAACTGCGTCTCGCCCAGGAACTGGATGAAGCCGGGCTTGTTCCCATTGACCCAAACGCGCTCCCCGACCCTGAAATCATCCACAAACTCCTCGTGTGCATCTGCAGGGGCTGTGCTTGAGCTCTTCTCACTGGGAGCTGCTTTTTCTGCTGGGGCTGGAATCAAAGCACAGTGAGAAACAGGGAATTAAATACACTGATATTCCAAAGAGCATCACTACTGAGTTTCAGTGTAACAACGTTCCTAATTAGGAGATCACAACTCTTAATTTTCCTGTGCACATGCTGTAATCACTGAGAAAAAAATTCAAAATCTAAGGACAGAGACACTGAATTTAATTAAGGTTTTTGTAATGTTGTTTTTGTAACAGCAAAAATCACAGGTCTGACTTCAAAAACCCCCAAAGCATTTCTATCATGACAAGGTTTGAGGAAAATTGATTTCCGATTAGTAACCTTTAGAGTTTTGTAAGCTTTACATGTATTTTTTTAAAATCAAAATACATTGGTGGAAAGAGTAAAAATAGTGTATCCTAGAACATTCAAGGTACTTTTTGTCAGAAGGTGAATGAGGGAATGATTAAAACATTTAACTGTTCCTTACCAGCAGCAACAGGTGCAGGTGTTTTGAGCAAGGTACTCCCGTGCTTGATGCTCTTGGAAGGAGCCTTCAGTCCACTTGGTTTTAACATACTCATCTTTTTGCAATTATCCTCCTTCTCTGCAGCAACTATCTTTTTCCAAACATGGAGAAAATATATTGTTCAAGCTTCTTCAGCTCTGGAATAAACCTGTATATGAAAAGATCAGACATGAGCAGAGATCAGTGTTAACTCCTGCAGAAGGGATTTCTGTATTTACACAATCTGTGTGTGAAATGCATTATAAAAAATGCTTTCCAGTAGCAACCAGCAGCATTTGAAGGCCATTTCCTATTAAAACCTAAATCATAAAAAGAACTCACTTTGCTGAATGCTGCTGTATTTATCTTGAGATTTAAACTAAAAGGCTATTTTAAGAAAGAAAAACAAAGCCCTTAACAGCACAGCTAACATTACACACAGATTTTTACTGCTGTACACACACAACTGCTTTCTGTCACATTTTTCCAGTGTTGCAACATTGAAGCAAAACCAACTGGAGACTAGAGAAATAACAGCAACAGAAAACAAGACAGCCAGGAATTTCAGGATGAAAGGAGTAAAGTTTCTAAGAGGTTGGTGTGGGATCTCAGCACCTCAGCACTGAGGTGTCACCGAGAGCACCCTTGGGGGGCTCGGGAGTCCTGGAATGTTCCAGAAGTGTCTGGTGGCTGGACTTTGATCCTACACAGGAGACGACACCTGTATGAGGACAGGAGGGTTTCACCGGGGTGAATGGTGAAGGGATGAGTTAATTAGAGAGTGAAACTCAGGGTTTAGGATTTCTGTACAGGGGGGTTTAGAGAAGTAAGATGGAGGAATTGGGGCGTGTCCTGTCCTTCTCCTTCTTCTTCTTCTCCTCCATCTTCTGTGGTGATGGTGGCACTTTGGGATTGGTCATTACTAAAAGTGCACCGGGCAATAAGAATAAATGGTATTGGGGAAAAATGATAAATATTGTACACGTAACTTTGGGTATAAAGATAGGTGACCGCCCAGAGGGCAGCACAGTGTGCTCATGGCTGGCTGCTGAGCAGAGCTCTGTCGGGCCGAGAGAAAATCTTTTGGATAAACAATTAATAAACACCGAGACCGAGAAAAGAACTGAAGCCTCTTCTCGTCCTTTGAAACGTGGGCTGCCCCAAGGCCACCCCGGGCCTTTCCAGGCCACCCAAACAGCCGAAAACCGGACAGGTTGGAACTGAAAAGCTGAAATTGTTGAAGAGTTACACGATGACAACTGAAAGCAAAGAGGCACCTCAGCAGTGAGCTCGGATCACAAGGCAGGCTGGCTGCAGTCCCGGCTCAGAGCAGCGACTCTTCCCCACGTTGCTGGGATAGAACTTGGAAGGCAGCTCCAAGCTTTTCAGGGAAATGTGTTCTGCCACAGGAGGCATCTTCTTGCTGATTACAAGAGCTTCAGAAAGGCTTTTTCATCTCTAATGAAAAATCTGTGTATTTTTTTTTCAAAGCCAAACTTCAAGGTGAGTGCTCTCCCCTCTCTTCAGAGGAATGAACTATTCTGTGTGAGATAAACCCATCCTGTCTTTGTGCAGCAGTCTGAGATTTATCCCTCCTGTGTTATGAATTATTAATCGGCGTTCCTAAAAATCAATTCACTGCTTTGTGAACCTGAACACCAAAGTGGAACATTCCTTATGTTATTTCAAGACCTGCCATGACAAATTCAAGGCATTTTCTAAGTCTGCAACAAAGTTATATTTAAAAAGCATGAATTACTACCTTGGATGTAATTGTGTTTGCCTACAATTTAAGTTCTGCTCCATCAAAATTGATGAAGTGCTGGGGAGATTTCTGAACCTTTTCTTTCCTAGTGTTGCCAGGAGTTTGTGACCCACGTGCCTGCAGAGTTATGACTCTGCATCATGCACATTTCTTTATCCTTCCTTTTAGAAATTCCCTAAAATTGCACTTTGCCCTGACACACCAAGGGCCTGAAAAGCCTTTTTTCCTCCCTTACAGATGTGCTCCCTTTCCAGGCTACAGGCACTGTTCCCTCCTCTCCAGCTCCACAATCTCCATGCTCACCTCCCTTACCTTCCTCAACCCATCAAAATTCACGAAACACAAAAACTGTTCAAGATAAAGAAGGATTTGGTACAAATACAGAAACAGGAGAAGCATCATGGTCAGTCCTTTTTCGTTCAGTCAGTGCCAAAGACCAACCTGATGGAAATTCCCAAGGGGAATCCTCCTTAAGGAAGGTTTCTCCTAAATCCTGAAGCTGGACTGTTCCTCAGCATTCTGCCATGTTTTTCCATACATCCTCTCTTTTTTGGCCCCAAAGCCCATTCCAGCCCCAGCACACCTGCCCTGTGCAGGGACAAATACAGCAGAGAAAGCACACACTGCATCAGCACCCAAACGAGCCTCTGCCAGTTTCAGTTAATTATTTATTAATAGATGGTTAACAAGGCTCTGCTCAACAGAAAGTTAGAATGTTCTACCCCTGCATTTCTTGGCTCAGATACTCATTCACAGTTTAATCTTGCTCTCCACAGTCAGGGGTTATATATTTGCTGTGTCATTTGCTTTTCTCAACACACAGGCCTTCAGTGAGGCCAGCAGTAACACAATCCCTCCTGTCCTGCTTTCAGTGACTGAAATTGTACCTTAATTCAGACAAAATAAAAGATTATTTTATATATATTTTATATATAATCTTGCCTAAGATTATAGGCAAGACTTTTTCATAACTGACAGCCTCACTGCAATAGTTAAAATGCAAATTTTGGTCTTAGGGACAGGGCCTTTGGAGCAGCACTGCCTAATGGAGCTCATAAACCACAGAAATTTGCATCAAGTGATTTGAAGCATCACACTCCAACATATCCTAACAGGCTCCAGATGTCAATGATCTCATTTCAGTTCTCATAAAAGACAGCAGCTCACTGCTTGTCTCAATTTGTTCTTTCCTCCCTTCAATCTGACTTAGCTCTCCTGAAAAAGGATCCTCATAACCAACAGACAGAAATATTGCTGTGTCCCCAAAATATCCTGCCAGGAACCTAAGGAAAGGTCCAGAAAGCCTCTGATAACATATTCCACTGAAATGTTCTACCAGTAACAAAACTGAGCATAAAAAGAGATTTTTAAGCACAGGCTTTGCACCTGTGCCATTTTTGGAAATATATGACTACATACAATAGGAATTTTAACTGATTAATGATATCATTATTTTTATTTATCTTTTAAAGACCTCTAAGTATTGCATGGATCAAGGAACAAGTTGGGCACCATTGGTTTAAGTAAATAAATCCTACTAATGTGCTATGTGATAATAATCTTCACTTTCCTGAGAGAAAAACAAACTCAGCACAGGAGCACTGTTTGAAATCTCTGCCTGAACAGCATTTCTCAAATACCTGTTTCATGCTTGTGTCCAGCTGCTGCTGCCAAGCTTGAGGGAGCTCATGAATCATTCCTCAAATATCTGGAGTTTAGAGAAAGTAACCTGGAATTCTGAACCTGGAAAGATTTCCCCTCCAGCCCACGAGCTGCTCCAAGAGCTCTGACCCTACACAGTTATGAACACAAATCCTAAAATTACTGCAGTCTTAAAACTGAAGCACATAAACATGTTCTCTGTGATTCAGATCTAATTCCCAGAGCTCCACAAGTTGTATTTGCAGTCTGCTGGGCTGTTATTACACTCCTGTAAAAACTGAGTATATATATTTACAAAAGCACTGAATAGTTTCAGTTGAATTGTTAAGCTTTTGAAATTCATACCTGATTTAAAAATACAAGCCCATTTTAGCTTTGAACAAAACCAATGCCTTCTCCTTGCTCTTTGCTGCTCAGAGAATATTTCTTGGTGTGCAAGAATGAGCCAGACCAGAGGGGAAGATTCTGAGGGGAATAATTCCTGCAGGTGCACAAACTGAGCAGACTGGGACATGCACAGCAGAATCCTCACTGGAACAATTCTGGAGCAAAGGGACACAAGAGAAGCTGAATCCTGGAACAAAAATCTTCCTAATCCTGACTCCCCCTCTGCTGCATTTTGGGTCTATTGGAGAAATTTCTTACTGGGCACCCAAAAATCCAAATAACCACTCTGCAAGCAATGGACTACATTTACAAGGAAATATTCCAGAGCACACAATATCCTCTGTAAAAGTCTCAGCTTCAAAGCCAGTCCTGCCCTATTACAAGCTGCCAAACCAGAAGGATGGATTGGAATCCCTGTTGCACTCACTTTACAGAGTGATGCAGCACTCCTGGCCACTCCCTAATTAAAAACACAACAATTTTGGAGCAATGAGCTCACACGCAGGTCTCTGTGCATTGATCCACTGAAGCCAGACAGTGAAAAGGCAAATGAACCTCTCTGTGACCCTCGTGCTCCTGCCTTACTGCAAATTCCCTGTGTTTTGTCAGCTCTGATGCATTTATTGAATGGGCAGCCTCCCCAGAAAGCACCGTAGGCATTTGTGAACAAAGAGAGGCACAAACAGCAAATTGTGCTGGCACTGAGGTAACAACAGCTCTGCAGGGTCTGTCAGAGCAAACTGAGCATCTGAGCTGGCCCAGGGATTACACTGGAATTAGAGGCATCTCCAGGTGTCTGTCACACTGAAATGAAGATAATTTAAGAAAGAATTTATACATAAAACAGAAAACAAATAGAATTAGGAATTTAGGATTTCAATACAAGAGTTGGCATTTGGAAGTCAATATTTGATTACTCATTCAACACACAGCAATTAGAGAAAGGGAACATTTAAAAACATGGCTTCAGTTTCATTTTGTCTTCCAGAAACCATTGATTTTTATGTCAATTACTCAAGTCATGTTATGATCTGAATATATCCTTCAGATACAGCTCTACTAGAAGAAAAGACATTATTTAATTCAATGTTTGTTATGCCAAGTGCCATGAAAACATATGAACATATTTATTTGGGTTATTATGCTCTGCTTAGTGCCAACATCAAAACATGAGGGCTGGTACCTGCACATCAAACCAATGTTTTGCACCTCACCTTTAAAGGTAGAAAAAAACTGCACTTATAACTCAGCTGATCAGGTAGAAAAAAACCAAAAGAAATCCAGACTTTTCAGATCTGTTGTTTGCAGGTACTGGAACAGGAAATAAAAATTTTGTAAGGAAATAAGCAAGAAGG